ACAAAGGCGCGTGTGTGTCAGGATGTTTGTGTGGATGGTGGCAGCGTGCTGCAGGTGTGTCCCAGCACTTCCCGTCTCGGCTTCGCCATGCTCATGGCAAACACGCTGACTGTGACTGGCGGAAGCTGGCTGGTGCACCGCGACAACGAGTTCCACACCGCCTACGTTGTGTACCTGACCAAATACTACGGCATTGCTTTTTGTGATCAGAGTGTGTGGTCGATACTTTACAACAAGTTCACTCACGGCTTTTACTCGTCGACCATTGCATGTATGACGAGCAAGTGGCCACCACCATCCGACACGCGCCCGACCATCTACGGCGTGTGCAACGAGGCAAGGGGCTCTCCTGTGACGGATTACCAAGAAGAGCTCAATATTGGGACGCCCGTGAGGGTGCTGGACTGTGGTGCGTGCACCGTGGACGCCGTGTGCTTCGCAGCGAGGACGAGCAGCATCAGCGGCTGTGAGTGTGTGTGCGCTGCTGGCGGCTACGGTGACACGTGTCTGCCGGCTGCTGTTCCGGACGGCCTTGGACCGCTCCCGCTCCTCGAAGCGGACGACACGGAGGTCCGCTGCGTGCACGGTGGCAGCATCAGCTCCGTGGACGATCCTGATCCCGGTGTGCGTGGTCTGTGCTTTGTCAACGTGACCTTCACTGCCGCGATTGCGCTGGACCTGTTGCATTTTGACGCGCCAGAACAAACACTCAACATCACGCTGCTGCAGTGCGTTCTCATAGGCCTGTCGATCAGGGGAATTGGTGCGCGCGTGCACGTGAACGTGACATCCTCGATGCTGGATTTCGGAGCGTTGGAGTTTGAGGGTGATTTCGGCGTGGGCTCCCAGATACTGGTGGCAGGCAGCGCGCTTGTGACGGAGTCGTCTTACGCCATTTTATTTTTAAAGGTTTTTCTTGGTGTGAACTCGACGCTGCTGCTGCTTGACAACAACTTGGAGGGGAGTAATTGCGCGTTATATATTTCCAATGCTGCCGTTGATGGTGGCGGGGTCATTGTGAAGGGAAATACGCTGATCACAACGGAGGAGGATCAGGGTGTGGAGTCATCTGTTTGCGTGAATGCTATTGATGTGAGGAACGGCGGCCACATTGACGTGGAAAACAACACGATGAGTGCTGCTAATGGTGTTTACATTTTTGGGGATACTTCCGTGAGCACCGCGGGGCTGCTGCGAGTGGCGGACTGCACCTTTGTTGACAGCACGAAGGTTTCGACTTCTGCGCTGGTGTATTTGTCTGGCTTTGTGACTCTCGAGGGTAGTGCGCAGTGGCGTGTGGAGGGCAACAGCGTGGGTGCAGCCTCGGTATTAAATATTCCTCATTTTCAGCACAAAATTCGGCTGTCGGGCAGCAGCACCACCGTGGTGCTTGCAAACAACCGTCAGGTGGACTCGAGGGTTTCTTTTGCCAAACTTCTCCCATCGAGCATTGTCGTGAAGTTACCCGCGCGGTTGGTCGTTGGGTGCAATCTGCAGGGCGATGAGGAGGTGTCGTACGACGATGTGTTTCTTGGGGAAGTGGTGGTGTTCAGGTGTGGCACGTGCAACGAAGACGCGGCGTGCTACATGCCCGGGACGGAGTTGGTGGACCGCA